CCATTGAATCTATATACGAGTTCAACCGACCGTACAAATGTATACATAAATGAGTTGCTTATGAATTTCAACGAATTTAATTTCGAAACTAATTAATGCTTTAAGCTTTCACTATTTTCGTTTTAGTATTAATATTGAAAAGCAACTAATCTTACACATTATTATTATGGGTATTTATTAATCATTATTATTATTATTTTATACTAAAATTGAAAGACAAGTAATTTTGTCTGTACGTTTATTAATTATTAGTTAACTCTAAGTATTTTTTTTTGTGGTGTATTTTATAAAGTTTCCTCGGATTGCAGAATCTTAAACTTTTCTTGAAATACTTTTAAATCGTTATCAGATAATAAGAACTACATTAATCACGTCAGGATGCACTTAGTGAGTTTAGTTGAAAAAGAATAAAAGTTGAGAAATAAATGTCTATTAGATAGTAAGATAATCCAATTTACGTCCGTTCAGTACAGCATATTGAAAATATTTGTTTGATACTGAAGTTCGATCACTGTCACTTACTTTTTTTAAAGACATATATCAATGCAAAAAAAGCACTAGTGCATTGACTGTTTATTCATGATTTTTTTAATTTTTTGTCTTACTGCAAAAACTATTGCAATTTCTAACTATTTTTAAAAATTGTAAGATAGCGTTACCACACTGTATAAAAATATTCTTAACACATATAATTCAGTTAATTTATGCCTGATTATTTTTGTAATTGAAAAAACTATGAAAGTATGAGGAAATTTGATAATAATTTTTTATCGAACGGATTTATTTAAGGTGATATCAATTAAGGACTATAAGTAAGCTTCAATAATTGCTAGCACAAACCGACCTACATCACACAAGTTATACAAACGTTTGCAAGAAGGAAGAAGGATGACTATACACTGGGTCTGATTACTGTGATTGCCACTACCCGTAAATGCCAATTTAGGAGTAATTCAAAGGGCTTTGATCATTCAACTCTTCACAGTCATGCTCTATGTGATATGCACGGTTGATAAATTTTTATCTAACTCGATAAACTCTTCAATTTCAGAATAAAAAAGTTTTATTACCTGGTGTATATTTTCGTTTGAATTTCTTCTATTAAACATTTTATCAAAAATTAACTAAAAAGCTAAGGATTAATAGTTAATTAATTTTTTGCAATGATTATTAATATCATTTTAATACCATAAAATTGCTAATATTATTATTCCTATGAAAAAAATTTCTGATATGGCCGACATAGCTTCATAAATCCATATATAGTTGTTATGTTGTCATTTGCCCATATTTGTAATTTTTCGACCAATGATAATGTGGAAAATCTCCGACAGAGAGCGCATAATTTCTGAATCGTCTTCTTACAAGAGATTTAAGTCTGAGGTGTTGAGTAATAATATACTCATTGTTATCTTCTATTTCCCCCAGTAAGATCTCAGATTATACCGCGTAAAATTTCACTGGATATAATCCGAGATTGTATCCTGTAACATTCCAGATTATACTCCACTGAGTATAATCTGGAATCTTATCCAGTGTAATCTTGTTCTTTCCGTGTAGGTGATATACTTATACACGACCAGATTAGACTATGTAAGGCCACATCAGGAAATTTTTAACTGGTTATTAAATAATTAACTATTTTTTTCAAGGAATTGTCATTAGCAGTCACTTTTATTTGAACAAATGCTTTTAAACTGCTATAATTCATAAATGCAAGGGTAAATTTCTATCATGTCAACTGTAAGTAATAATGCGGCAATTTATATTGTATTAAATTAAACCAATCCAACAGATTAGCTGAAAATCTCAAGCTTATATTTACAGTATTTACATTCGTTTCGTTAAATTAAATTACGGGATAGTAAAGTCCTGAATGAAATAAAATCTCATTTAAATACTTTTCATAGCTTGAAATTTGTCGTGTTTTCGACACAGTCAGTTTATTTTATTCGTATTTTTAATTTAAAAATTTTAAATGAAGTATGAGATATGAACTGACGAAAATATTGATTATTTTATAATAAAATGATGTTTCTGTTATTTGAATGACAATTCATTTATTATTTACAACTCGATTATAATCAATCATAAGCAGAGTAGAGTGATATTTATGACTATAAAAATATGAAAGTGTCTACGAGAATAAAGATAGAAGAGATGGATCCTAAGTTTTTTTTTTTTTATTTTGTCAGGAAAGAATACTAAGCTGTTGAAAGATTTAGTATGTTGAATGTGGAAATAGGGAAAAAGAATCATACATATGATACTTGACAGTGACTAATTACACGGAATATGTAATTTATTTAATCAACGAGTAGATCCAGTAATTCATTCGTTTATTCAGTTTTTAGTTTTTTATTCCAAAATAAATTGAAAATACAATTGATTTTTGAATAAATTATAAGACTACTGGTAAGCAACAAAAAATTTATTTATATTAATTGATCTTTAAGAATATATTATGGATATCTGAGGCAGAAAAAAAAATTTTTTTTTGAGTCCAGTATTGTAGTAAAATATTTACTATTGTGACACTAAAGTACGCATAAAAATTAATTTGGTTAATTTGTGATTATGATTACCATTTAAACGTATTTCAGTGTTATATTATAAAAATTAATTTTATATTATGAAAATTAGTTTTTTTTTTTTAATAAAGTAAGGCACTTTTTACTCTTTTGTCAATTATAGTTTTTTTATCTTTTTTTTTTTTTTTTACGTTGCTACGATTAGCTCGTTTTTTGTTGTTATTTGAGTAGAAACGGATCTTAATGGTTCCTAATTTAATTATTTCATTTTGAATTTAAATTATCGTTCCACTTAATTATTTTTTCCCAATTAGTTAGGCTAATTATCGTTTGAATTTTTAATTAATACACTCGGAAAGAAGATCTCACATGTGAATTTTTTCTAAAAATTTATTTTACTGTTGATACATCCAACCACTTATTGATATCATAATAACGTAAAAAAAATGTTAAGTGATGATTTAATAACTCTTTCAATGTAGACTTCAGACTTTAGTTCCGACTCTTCTCTTGAAAAGTCCTAAAACACGAATGAAACATTTTTTTTATCACTCTTTTGTTTCAGTACTACTTTTTGTACGCAGAGAAAGTATGAAAGTTATAATATTTTTATACTGCTTAAATTATTCTGATAATACGAATTTTCTTATAAAGAGTCGATTATATTAATGAATAATTGAATATCTATTTACAAACATCCAAGTTATAATTGGCTTATTTATAAATGGTTAGTAAAGTTTGTGAATAATGTTTGGATTAATTTTATACTTTTTAATGTACCGTTAATAAGGGTACTTAAAATGTATTCAAAACTTTGCAAGCAATTTTTGTACTTTAAGTAATCCGTTGTACTTTATTAAATAAAATAAAATTCGATTTAATGGCTAATAAATGAATAAAATTAAGTAATAACAACTTTTTACAGATTCACATTCGATTAAAAAAATTTTCTACGGCATATAAATCGTTTTTTATTCATAGAAAGTTAAAATTAATCAATATTCACTTCAAGCGACATGATATAAATATAAATAGTATGGAAATGAAAGTTAAGCACGTCGAATTTGCTGAGAGGAAATAGCTCGATGTTGCGAAGATAGAAATTGGTTTGGTACATACATGTATATAGAACATAGATAATATAAGAGTAAGTATTGAAATCAATATAGAGGTTATATCGAGTACGTTCGAGGATGCTTTTAGAGGATATATATTTGTTGAATTTTGATAGCTATTTATTGTTGTTATTACCGATCGATCGATTTAAATGAAATATTTAACAGTTTGACAAGATTCAAAAGTACAAAAATGATAGAATAACGTAAATCCAAAAATAACGAATTTAACAATGGACATTGTTTGAAATAATCTTGACATCCAAGTCGAGCACTCTTCGACATAGCTTGAATAATTCAATCGGATTTTTCCAAGCTCCTGTCTGGTCTTTGCTTTTCTCTTTACTCCCTTTATCTTCCTATTCTTAGTGTTCAGTGTACTTGCCAAAGTGAAAGAGAGAAATGAATTTTTCTCAAGAACACTATCTAGACAGACACTTTTTGATGCTTCTCTTCATCCTTTCTCTTTCAATATAAGAAAGCTTCCGAGGTGACACATCGGTCTTGAATTATTCGGAAAAAAAACTTTGAGAAGTATGAATTTGATGGAATGAAAATAAAAATTATTTGTTTTTTAATACGCTTTTATTGGTTTTAATTGACCTGTAGGTATCTATTTAGTTATAAAATAGAATCTTTCAATGTTATATCTACCGACTTCAAAACGTTTGAATAATTATAAAGTTCAAACTCCTATCAAGGAGCGATGATAATACGTAAATTTAATAACTTTAATCGGTGTCTTATTGAGGATTACCAGGATGAAATAAATAAATAATTTTACAGATTTCGTAGAACACCATCTATAGAATTACTGTAAAGATTGATCTTTGTTAAATATTACAATCTGACGCTATTGGGTTTGAATTGCAATAAAAAAGTTGAAAAAAATGTATAGTTTAAAAATCGAAAAAACACGCTTTAATAAAAAACTGATATCAAAAATTACAAAATAATTGTTTTTGAATGATTATCAACAAACTTAAAATAAAAATTGACTGATTAACAAAAAATTCATTTTATGGTGAAAAAAAATAAGCGTCAATATCAATTTCTGTTAATGTTTTATTAGTAAATATCTGTTAAGGTAAACTTATTGTGAAAATATCTTTCGTAATATCTAACACTTTTTTTTTCAAATAGAATAAATTTTTTGGTAACCATTATTCTTATTTTTGATCTATTAAAAGATATTCTCTACCTTTTAGTTTAGTTTGCCATTAAAGCCTATTTATTACTTTAAACTCTTATTTATCTTTTTACAAAGTAAAATTATTATAACTGATATAAATTATGTTAAAAAATGTGGTAATTTTGTAAATCTTCAAAGAACAATTTCAATATTAATAATTAATCATTTATCCACAAAAACATTTGGAGATGGATATGCATCGTACAAATCGCCTTTAAAAACATTTGACAACCTAGTTTTAAAAATTTGAAAAATCAAAAATCCGCCATAGCCATCATGACCACGATGCAAAACTCCAATTCCCCCCAAAGGAAATTCAGGATCACCCTCAACATTTTGAGCGTCAAAAAACGGTACTGTTGATTGTCCAGCGTCTTTTATCATATCCGAATTCTGAAACTTTACGTAACCGCCATTTGTCCAGTAGATATTGTTCTTTGGTGATTTAGTCAGTAAATCTGGATACCCCAGGTCCAGTTCGGAATCATATCTAAAAACAACATTGCTAAATTGAGTCGCGAGTTAATCAACCGAACATAATTGGTAGATAGAACTTACCTCCATGCATCGCATTCCGTACTTAACCATTTTGTTTGATTATCATTAATTAATCTGCCCTCAAAATAATCAAAAGGCGTAACACGAATCCGTAGCTGTAGTGAACCACTATAGGATTCTTGCGACGAAGGTACTTCAAAAAATTGAAATGCGACACCCGTGATCACGAAACTATCTGGTGCACGTACGTCTTCTAATCTTATCTGATCTGGGAATCCGTAGTCAACGTTTTCTTTGAGAAAAGTTTGAGTACCGTTATCATTTTTGACGAAGAAACTACCAATCGTTTCATTGTAGTTAAAAATTTCCAGTTCTTTCCATTCTGATTTTTCTGTTAATCCTAAAGGTTTCAATTCAGCTTCTTTAATTTGCACGTGGATCATGTTATTCTTTTTCATGAACCTCACACCTACGACAATCCTGTACAAAAAAAAATTGATTTTTAAATTAGTTCAATAACCTAAAATTTATTGACTGGTACGGAAAAAAAGATTATTAGACTAAAAAAAAAAATACTATTTAATTCAAGAAAAATATTTTCTTAAAAATTTTTCTCTTGTTTCGAGACATTCAGTTTTCTTCATTCAAGAAATTCACTCGTAAATTATCAAGATCGTATAACTTACGGATGAAAGGAATTTCACTCAAGAATTTTTTTCTCTTGACTCAAGATAGGCGGTAACATTGATTCAAAATATTACCGACTTGTTTCAAGAATTCTCAAATGTTTAGTTTTTTTTTAATTTTTTATATCATTGAAAATAAGTCTTAAAGACATTTTAGGATGGGTTGAAAAAAAATAATTGTTTTTATTAAAAATTCTTAAAGGAAAATAAAATTATTCTTAGTTGAAGGAAATTGTGTTTTTCGATGAAGAATTTAATTGTATCGATCATAGATAATTGTATAACTTTAATTAAATTTGTCTTACTCCAAGAAAACAGTTTTAAATATAATAAATGTTGAATCAAGACCGGCGATTTTCTTCAAAATAATTTTTTGGATTAAAAAAATTCCTCATGAATCAAGTAGTTTTTTTTTCAATATACAGATTCGTGTACTAACATATTTTTCTCGATGTCAGTAAGCTGTTCTCGAAAACTGACAAATAGTACATCATCGTCTCTCGACAATTTTTTTTTTTACGCAGGTACACAGGCAGTAATCAAATGAACAAAAGTTTGATAATGACAGAATACTGGACACTGTTTTAACAGGCGTCTTACATTCAGTACTATTGTCACCACAGAATAATCCCTCGCTATTTTTGAACCATTGATATTTTCGTCCCGATTGATCACTGTCCGGCTAAATTATAAATAATTACGTTGTTGCTATAATTTTATTCGATCCCATCAATAAAATTTTATTGTGATAATAATAATAAATAGAAAGTAATTACCAATTCACATATCTCCAAACTTTTGCCAACATATTGACACCTACGATATCCTTGACACACCGTTAAATTCATAGAATTTTTAATAGTGTTTATATCGCAATTGTGTCTGCAAGATTTATGGATATCTAGATCTTCCTCTTTTACTATTGAAGCCTGTATCATTCTAGTAAACTCGTAATATTTTGTTTCATTACCTAAGTAAAAAAAAAAAATAACTCATTTATCAATTAATATTTTGGCTAAGTTAAAAGTAATATTTTATATTTACTGTTATCATAATTTGGTGGGTCGCATCTGTAAAGGTAAGGTAAAAATCCCTTTGATTCTTCATTATAAGAATTTATATGATTCTGCAATCTATTTATCATGATAAATTCATCCATCTTGGTACGTATCAGATTTTCTATTGAAGTAAACATAAAACAAATGAATAAGGAATTATAAACTAGTCATTAAATTTTAGCTCTTACTCTCAGGACACTGTCGATTGATGACATCTAGATAATAACGTACGACATATTCTTTGAGATACGTAGTAACCATTTGTTGGTAAAAATTAATGAATAGTTGTTCCGTTAAGGCTCGTTTTCCACAAGAATCGTAAAATTTGTAGTTCTTGAATGTTAAATATGCTTTTATTATTAAAGTATTGATATAAAAAATTAATTATTTGTCTTCCTATGAAAAAATTTTGTGATACAGCTATAAATCTGAACTGTTCATAGATGACCATATTACTACATAAACTGATAGAAAATATTTTTTTTTTAAATGGGCATTGTTGTGAAAAAAAAAAATTAATTTGTTAAAAACTTTTAACAATTTTATTTCATAGCTGAAAAAATCAAAATTTTATTCACAGTTACATTCTTGTTGAAAGAAAGTTTTTTTGATTTAAAAAAAAAACAATTTTAGATAGATACCTTACGACTTTCTATCTAGAATTGTTTTTTCTCAAAACCAGTTTATTAGTTAATTAAACTGAAAAACCAATGTCAGAAGCTCAGTAGGAACTCACAAGGTTAACTCTCTTGTCAGAGGAGGATTTAGTGATCATGCGCTTCCTGACAAAGATTTTGAACAATATATACCATTGGTCGACAAATTATGTATGGGTACATACGACCATATCAGAAAATTATTTCACAAATTTAATTATTTATATCGTGTAAAACCTAAAAGTGTTTCGTTGTATACTTACATTGATGTAGCGCTTCAGATTTTGAAGTTGATTATATTTGACGAAGATTATTCCCTTCTTTTCTAAAGTAATATTTTTAGTAATATTTGATACTACCGGACAATATCTAGCCAAATTATAACCGAATTTATTCCGCAATTCCATTAATATATCATCATACGAATTTATTTTACTGACAACATTATCGAAAGCATTCAATAGATCCACATAATTAAATGCTTTTTGATCCATCTGTTCAAAAAATTTTTTTTTCAAAAGTATTTAAACGAACCACGAAATCTCTAGACGCATTGTAATTGCGATCTGTTAAGGTGTTTAAGTTTTCAAGCAGTCCCACCAAGTCATCGACAATTATTTTACTTTTTTCATCATCACTAAGCTCTTTCTCAAGATAGTATTCCGCGGGTTTCTTGTCTGTTATTCTTTGTATAAATTTCTTTATACCGTTTACATAGTAGATCTCCTTAATAGTTATTGAATCGACTGATTTTTGCAGCCAAATGAATATTAATAGGATAAAAAAATAATTATTATTATTGAAAATCATTTTTTATGGTTAACGCTTTATCAATTATTAAATTCCTGATTTATTTGACCTTAATTCAATTATTTATCGCTCATATTACTATATATAGTATTCTATGAATACAATACTTATCAAATCAAATTATTGTTCTAAGGCTACTTTTAAACTTGTTAAAGTTTAAACTTGTAAAAATCGTATATTTATTATATAAGTTGATAATTAAACTCCACACTTGAAATGAAATTATTTAATAAATATTCATCGTTAATTTTTGAATATGAATACTCAATCAAAATTAATTATTAAAAAACACTGTGTTTTAAAAATTAGTGACATTTAGATAGTAAACACGCACTTTTATATAACTGAGACGCACTTTTCTCAGCCGGTTTACTGTTGAATTTTATTTAATAGACCCACCGGCAACCTTGAATGTATGGAATCTCCTATGACACATTAGTGTATGTGTCTTTATTCTACTCCCTATTTCATAACGGAATCTTTTTTTTTCTTTTATAATATAAGTTCGGATAAATTTTTTTACTTCTTAAAATATGTTAGATTAATAATTAATCTTAAAATTTCGAGACAAGGTAGATAAATCAGATGGAATTTAAATACTTGAACTAATTTTACTTCCAAAAAATGACCTTTTAACATAAATAAATTGACTTTTCGTAAAATAAATTAAAAATACAAAAAACATTAGCTGGTCCGACAAAGCAAATTATAAAGCAAAAAAATGAGGATTAAACTTTTAGGAAAATTTTAAAACAATATCGAAATTTCAAGGGTTCTTTTGTACTCAAAAGCAATTAAATTTATGAAAGAAGGGGATGCTTTAGGTGTCCTTATATTCAGGGGATAACTCGTGCGCGGCACTCAGAGCCATCTAGAATTTCAAGTTGAAACTATCCGCCTACTCTGTGTTGGAAGGTATTTTCTCTACACTCTACATTTTGTGATGATGATAACAGTTTTGATTTTAACATTTAATATCACTTTCCAGTAAAATAGATCTGACTCATCTTTGGTTTAACCGCCTATCAACAAATCTGAAACTCATTGGTAATCTAGTTTCATGAAAACAGTAACATATTTATCAATAATATTTATCGCAGAATTCTCAGTTATCTGTTTTTGAATAAAATTTCAAATCTTCGATAAATTTTGAATTATTGTTTAAATTGACATACATCGATTTTGCTAAATTGAGAAAAAAGTTCCAGTGAACTGTTTTAAATACGCAAGTATAAATAAGTGAAGAGGATGTAAATAATCTTATAAAATAATTTACTTTGTGAAAGTACATTACACTGATAAAAAAATTAACTTGACTCGAAACCCAAAATCTTGAGCCAAGAATACCATTTTGAAGAAAATTATATTAATTCTTGAGACAAGAAAAATTTACTTAAAATCAAGAATAATTTCTTTACTCATAATTACTTAAATCATTTTCTTCACAGTGATGGTATTCTTGGTTCAAGATTTTGAATCTTGGATCAAGTTAATTTTTTTATCACTGTAATAATATTCGTTTGTTAAAAAGTTAATTAATTGAAATGTGCTTCATTTCTACTAATTCTTTAGCCACAAAGTTTTTTCTGGACAATAATTTTTCTTTCTCTTAGTGTATAATTTTTAGTTTTAAGAACTAATCCTTTAGTATTTTCAATTAGTTTTCTCTTTTTTAAAAAAAGTAATATAAATCCAAGCTCTTAGATTATTATTAAAATGTCAGTGATTTTGTGTCTCTTATCGGTCAAAAACTGGCATCTACAAGCTCATCTTCTCATTGTCTAAGATTAATATAGCTTCTTTCGACTCTCTGAAATAAATTAACTAGTTCTGTCATTCATTGTCTTGAAAAATAGCCCCAGATTTTTATCATGATTACGAAACTATTTTTTCATTATTCAAATCGCAAATTAAAAAATTCATTGCGTAGACCTATAGTAATCGCTCATATCAATATGGTATCATATACTCGAGTATGGAATGAGTATTTCATTGTTAAATATGCTTTATTATAAAATACGAATATGAATAAAAATAAATAAGTAATCGATAACAGTATATTCAATTTGTCAACCATTGATAATTGCGTTAAACTTTGTTTGATAAATTGAAATGTATGTGTGAATGCATAAAATGGGTTTGAATTTTAAGTTAGTTATTGACATCACGAATGACGACATAATCATATTTGATCTATAGCGTATGAACAAATAAATTTTCGACAGCCAATAGATGTTGTTTTCGATAACATAGGTCATTTAATAAACATGGTAATACCAAGTTAAACTCATTTTATATTCGATAATACTTGATACATAAATTGAGAGTGATCGATTCATCACTGAAGTGAATGTTACAAAAATGATCAACCATTCAAATTAATTCTGGTTAATTATTTTGTATGTGATAAATTTGAATTAAAATCATATTCTTTTTTTTATATTTGAGTTCATCGTTAACATTTTTTTTTAATTAATGACAGAATCATACGAAATCATACGAAGATATATTATATTATCACGATGCTGTACGAAATATTCGCGTGGGTAAGCTAGCAGAATTATATTATTGGTAGCAGTTTTATTTAAAAAATTTCGTATGATTCTGTCATTAATTAAAAAAAAATGTTAACGATGAACTCAAATATAAAAAAAAGAATGTGATTTTAATTCAAATTTGGTTGTACCACGAAATCTCCCCGGACAAAATCTCCTCGACAAAATACGCTTTAAAATCTCGTTGTGCCCTTTTATCATGATTTTTTGTGTATATTTACACGAAAAATACCATCATAACTGTCAGGAATAATAATATTATTATTTAAAATTAGATTTTGTCGGGGAGATTTTGTCGTGTCACCATATCTTTCATGAATAAATATTTACGCATACGCATTTCCACATTATTATATGACCATCCGTTTTTTAATAATTATATCGTATAAAATATTAGTTAGTTAAAATAATTTATTACATTAATTTATGTAATTATACATAAATTTTGGCACATAACATACTATTACCCTAGATTGTAAATGACGATTTATATAATAATAACTTTTATATAAAATGTATCTAATTTATTTTGATTGATTAGCGTGATAGATTACTTAAGGTTTGAATTTTTACGCTTAATATGAAATTAAACGAGGTTTAGTCCTAACAGTGGGAAATTGCAATCCCCATCTATTGAAACAGATATATGAGAACGACCACTTGTGAGAGTCATGCGATGTTCGTGCCATCTAGCATATCGGAGTAAAACCACCACAGATATTTGATAATACTAGTATACGTTGCGCGCGCAAGCGCGCGTGTGAATGTTGGTATGGAATTATCTATATTTTCATGCTTATGATATATTTGACCAATCACGTTACGAATAGTTTGCTCTTACATGATATATTTTCATATTTTTCATCTAAATTATAAGAGTGGACTAGAATTTAACTTACGCGCGCCTCATATTTATTGTCATGATATATTTATGTGTCGTTTATGTATATTATATTCACTTTCAACCAATCAGAATGAAAATAAATATTTTCGACCAATCACATCACGAATAATTGAAATGATCTAACCTAAATTCACCAGCAGAGAATTATAAAAAAATTTATGATTTCCAAAATAAAACGCATTTATATTTTTCTTTATTATTGCACGCAATAGAATTAAAAATTGAATGTTTATATTGTCAACAATTATTTATATATTGCAAAAAAAAAATTTTTTAAAGTACTAACTCAATCGTATTACTGTTTCATATAATTTTAATGCTTTTTTGCACATACGAGTTCTGTCAAAACCACCTTTTATATTGCGAACGTTTTTTTGTTTTAGCCCGACTATAACAAACAACCCGTACGATAATACGGAAATATAATTTTTGTATATATGTATAAGCTTACGAATGAGTTTAAGCGCTCAATACTTAAAAAATTGGTTATTCAACTGTACACTAGATTTTTTTATCTTATTTATTTATTTGAGTATTAAAACTCGAAAAATAAAATCCGAAATTCAGTAACAAAACTAAAAAAAAGATACTGTTAATTTAAATTGAACTTTTAGTTCACTCATCCGCCATAGTCGTCACTAGAATAAACTGCAGATGAACGAAATAATAGACAGAAAAAAAAGTAGTACTTGCAATTCATGAATATTGAAATCGGCTTGAAGCTTTGTGTGCCACTGAGAGGAGGGGTGATTCGTCAATAATTTCAAGTACCTTCGTTTTTTAGTTCTACCACTCGGCTTCATCTCTATTATCTGAGGTAAAATTATACGGGACAGCCGGTAGCAGACTGTTAAATTACGCCAAGTGGTCCATCGAGAACGTTAACAAAGTGTCGCTTATATATATATATATATATATCGTTCTTTACCCATCTTTGTTAATTACTCAGATGAGAAAGTTGCAAGACTTTTCTTTTTAATTAATCATTTCTTGACATAACTACAGTATAACTTTTTTTTAGCTCGTTTCTCGTTACCTCTCTATAATAAATACTACAGTATATAATTTTGAATATGAATATTATCAACCTTGTTAAACGGCAAAGTTGATTAAAATATGTACAATCGTCAAATGAAATTGTTATGACCGATTTATTTTTGTCCTCGTATACAGTCCAGAATTAAACATGAAAGCAAAAGTGAAACACATAGTACGCTTGTAGTAAAATTAGGGTTGTACTTATGTTATTTTAACTCAATTTTCAGGGAATACCACAAATAGCTGTCGTAATAAAAGTCCCTTATCGCTGTTGAGAGGGTTTTTTCTTTTTTTGTTTCATGGACTTGTTAATTTAAAATTTATAATTTAAAAATTTGTTTTACTCAGCTTTAGTGTTATGAACAACC